CGTCGTTACAAATTGCACGGTCTTGCTGAATTCCTGTCTGGCTTGGTCATTCCAACAATGTCTGTTGAAAGAGGGCAGGCTGCTGGAGAAGAAAAAAGGCTGAAGGGAAGTGTTAGGTACGAACCGTACGTGATATTGAATAAAACCGCAAAACATAAAATTTTCCGCCGTAGAGGTTCCCATCAGGTATCACGAGCATAAAAACCATTTTTGGCGCCTCCACCTTCAGTTTTTAGTGCACTGGTCATAAATATCAGAATTATTGCCACTTATATAAGGACACCAATGACTAAGTTTCGATCGCAAAAAGTTTCGGGTTAGAAAACAATCCGGCTATCTGTTGTTATGGCTCCGCCGCTGAAACTGTTATAATGAGGCCGATAAGCAATCCCTTGGGCAAAGGTGTCATTAGCATTGCTCACTATCTCCCACACTGCTGTGGGAGAATTCTGCCCCACGAAGCAACGCCATGGTCATGAAGAAGTGTGGGGAGTTTGCAGACAATATTGAAGGCAAAAAGAGGTGCTTCCAGGGACCGCTGTTCTGCCGTTCCTCTCTTACAACCATTCAGAAGCATCTTTTCCGTGTGGACCCTCGCAGTCATGTCCACGCTCACACCCTCTCTTTGTCCGCAGTTCCCCCCTCCCAACCTTCGAGCAGCTCCCATCCATCGAAGGAAATCGCTGTTCCTGTTTTCTTCACTGAAGAGTTTTGGTCACCCATATAAAGGCAGCGCTATCGTAGTTGTGGACACAACTACTCGGTACCGCCTTTGTGTCCCTTTTCCTAGTCAAGACTCGGGTTCAGTGGAGATTACGTTTTCTCTTCAAGACTGTCTCTAGGAGAATCTGGTCGTCTGCGCTCCGATCCCAAGCCTTTTGGAGGAAGTGATACAGGGGCGCGACTGAGTGGTCCTCCCACAATCACATTAGCTCCGCAAAAACTGCTTTCTGTGGAGCGGTTCGCGCCAGAGAATTTGAGTCTAGCAACTGGATTTCCACTGGATTTCCACACATCTTGGACAACTCACTTTCATTCCCCGAGATGGAATTGTGGACAGAAGGGGTGCATGTCGAATGGCGCAGCTGGCTACAGCCGCACTGCTAGCGTACTAGGGCCCTACTGACAATAACATTTTTTTGAGAACTTTTAAGACCATTTCCATTGAATAACTTTTCCTGATAAGTGGCAAAATAATACAGGGTCCGCTACACAGACGAAAATACTTACAATTGCCCATCATAAGCCCCTAAATTCGGCATCTATGCTGGCGTCCTGCCATTGTAAGTCTATCACGTCAGTCAAGACGACGAACGACATCGACGAGTTTTTTGGTGCAAAAGGTAGGCTGCATAGACGGGTAGAGGTAATAGCGCGGTAGGGGGTTTATTAGTAGTCAGTGACAATACTAGCTACTACAATAATACTATCATACTAGCTGCACCATTCGACCACCTCCTGACGGAAGAGGCCCTAGATATTTCGTTAATAGCTGTTACCCACTAATAGCTGTTACCCAATCTATCCTGTAACAAAATACATGGGCACATCGTCAGTTGGGGATCGTGGCGACGACAACTTTCCACCTTTTGCTCATAAGGCTGGCACCCCCCCCCCCCCAGCTCCCTCCTCATCGAGCTGTCGAGTGCAAAAAGTTTATTAGTACCGGTAATAAATTTTTTATTCACAGAGATGACGGATTAGAATTATAAATAGAAAGATTGGCGGGAGGGGTGTATAGCAGAAAACAGGAAAAAGCACGAAAAGTCGACAACCTCCTAGGAGGTTCAGAAGGGAAATACGACCTCCTCCTCTTTACAACGTCCCGAAACACGAAAAACAACCATCGAAAATTTTTTCTTCTCCAGGCCCAATACGACACACCCTTCTCTGTCAGTAACCAAATACGACCCCCCCCCTCCTGTATGGGAATCCTCAATAACGATGTGCAAATGTCTACAATGTCGGACGAATAGCAGCACCATGCCCACCGCTTCCCGCGGGAAGATTTCGCGCTCGAGTGAAATTGTAGCTAGAGCACGAAAGTTCGACTCGTCCACGGTCTGGTTGCAGCTGTACGTACAAGGTTCTGGCTTTATTTTTTTTCCTTTTTCTCATTTTCTTTTCTTGTCTCCCTTCCCTTTGCTCACTATTACTTCAATCAGCACTCAGAAATTCTTTCCATTTAGGTTTATTATGGAGGACACCGTCGCGTCAAGTTCGAAAGCTATTAAGTCTGCAAAGCGTAAACTGCTACAAAAAAGTAAAAAGGTAGGCTCTGATATAGTGAAGATTCGGTTAGCTATACCAGTAATATTTCACGCGAACATTGAGAACATATTAAGGCGAAGAAGTTGAAGAGGAAGCGCAATTCAGATGTGGATTTGAATGTTATCGGCTCAACAACCAAAGGCGGTAGCGATGATGACAGTGAGGAAAACACTGCCAATGGTTCGTGAATTTATTTGTTCTTGTTTTTGCAGCTAACATAAGTGATATCCAGAGCAGGAGGGATGCAAATTCGCAATACAATGCGTAAAACAACAAAAAAGAACTAAATAGTGTAGCGCATCGTGCATACAACTAGACTGAAGGAAATTTCACGAGTTTGGCAGAAAAACACAAAATCACAGCAAACGCAACAAGTTAGATTTAGACGCGAAGTGACTAGGAAGATACCAGCGGTTCAAACGAGGAGGATAGGGAGAAAAGAGATAAAGCAGAAAATATGCGGGAACAATAAACAATATGCGGGAACGCCTCCGTTTGAAATGTTCTCAATTAATTTTATTCCAAACGGATATCTGACAAGGAATGGACCTTCGTAGGTAAAAGTATTGGGCCTGTCAGGTTGCCAACGAGAGTTGAATTCATTGTTTTATTTTTTCAGCTAAACCATCTATTAGAAATGAGGTAGGAAACCAAATACAGAAGTCTTCTTTAACAAGGGGGCTCTTTTAGGTAATTGAACTGTATTTCGATAGGACATGGTTTTTTGGTCAGCAAAAAGTTCGGACTTGTGATTAAAGGAGGACAAAAATTAAAGATTATAGAATTCAGTTACCGTGGGGATGTCTTTCTCTCATTATTCCAATTCTAATTTGTCCTTTCTCGACTATCATGCTGTCCCTTCATCTAAGAACGCCGTAGGCTTATGATCCCCATCGGGAACGCTCATTTTTGCCTTGGAGCAGTTTGTTTGTTTTTTTTTGAAAAACATGGAGGAATTTCCGGAGAAAACTCCAAGAAAAAGTGGTAGGGAAATGAAGAGGGTTGGGCAATGTCGTAGGTAGAATGGGGAAGGGGGGGGGGCGTGGTCGTATCAAAGGAGGACTTCCGAGAGTCGTATCCTGCCAAAATTTTACCCCAACAGCAGGACGAGACCCGACCTTCATTGCTGTGCTAGCAAATACAGTGTTCAATGATGTCCGAATTTCTCGTTCTTAGGCAGCGTTCAGACTTCGAGACGGCAGCGCTTTGGTCGATCGATGCGCATGCTTTCGACTGCATCGATCGCGTCGAACGCGCGACCGAAGCGCTGCCGTCGCGAAGTCTGAACGCTGCTTTACATTTTCTCCGCCTGAAAGTTAGTTCCAGACGGAGAGGAAATGTCGTTTTTCCATCTTCTTACTGAGCACAGACTGTAAAGAGTTCTGTCGGTCAACTCTGGCAAATATCCTTCGTTTTTGTGAAGACTTCAGTTTTCAAATTTCAGTTTCTGATGGTGAAATTTCTGATTCTGAAGATCTAATCAGAGATGATAACGACCAACATCTCGACTTCGATATTGAAGCATTTCCTATGGAGGCTGACGATCGTGATGGAGTTATAAATATGCTTACTCAGGTAAATCTTGGAAACTTTGATTATTGTTTTGCATAGCTTTAGATGCTCAGGTTCATGAATACATTTCCAGATTTTCCTGAAAGCTGACGTTGACCTCGGTTCACTGGCGGATGCAATTATTGCGCAAGCTCCTTTTGGATTAGTACTTGGGGTGAGGTTCCCACTCTGATTCTCTACATTTAGATTTTTATTTTTTTACCTGTGCTATTGTTCCGCATTTATTTTTTATTTGATTTTGTGGCTCTTTCGAGCTGTATTCCCTCTTCACTTTTTTGCTTCGCTCTAGTGTTTTTCTTTCTTTCTGGATAGAAACTGCCACGACTGAAGCGAAAGATTTGCTTTCAGCCAGCAGAAGACCAAAGTGATGAAGATAATACGAATGTGGTATATGGCCTCTTATCTATCGCAAAATTGAATCCTTTGAAGGTTAGCGCTTTTGTAAAACTGCTAGGAAACACCGTCATGTAAGTAAATTATTTCTTAAGGATGGCAGTTCAAAATACGCAAAAGATGTGATAAACTTCATTGAAGAGAAATCGCGAAAATTCGCTCTGAAAGATTTTCGTAGTGCTTTTGAAGCTGCCAAGTCTGATCGGCTTGGGCTCTTTGTTAACGAACGGATGCTCAACTTCCCCACACAAATAGTAACGCCCTCTTTTAAAAGCATCCAGTGAGTATTTGCCCGTTTAGTTGTTTTTATTCTTCTATCTACGCAAATCATGCGTTTTACGTAACGTTTATTCCAGGGCCGACTTGAACAATATGAAAAAGCAATATCAGAAAATCGTTTATATCCATAAATTACGTATAGCGGACTCGGAAACTGTCATGCCTCCATCCAAAAGTTCAAGTGAGAAACCTTTGAAGAAGAAGAAGATGGGGAAGGCTGAAAAGGTTCGCGATTTACGGTTTCGAGCCTTCTGATTGTTTATGTTTGACTTACACTAGTATTTATTTCATGGCAAGAGGACATTCGTTTGAGGATGTTCTCAAGCCTTCATGAAACTGGAGTTATTGATTAGACATGCTGTTAGATATGCTTTTAATCAAGAAAAAAAATGCCGAAACGCTGAAAATACTACTTAACGAAGTCCTTCGGCCCGTAAGGCTTGGAAAATATACTCTCACGAGATTTTTATCTATTTCTGTACGCCTTTTTGAAGCCACGAATTAGGCTATCCACTCTGATGTCTTTGCCATTGGAACGAAACCAAGCTGAGAGCTGCCCTTTCGATCCCATCTTAGGAATCTCCCATTTAGAGACAGTCCGAGAGATTACCCAACAAGCAGGCTTACTCTTGCGAAAGCTGAGTTTCTTAGCCCATCAGTGCTCGTATTTAAACCCATTCGACAGGGGTGGGGCGATAAAAAAGAATGCCTCGCTCATCGGAGCGGGTAGCCCATAAAGAACATTTTTTCGGGGTGACGATGTACACAGCAAAATCGGACCCTCTGGACTTGTAAATGCGCTCCCCGGTCTCAATCCCTGTATTCTTACTGCAATCGCTTCAACGGACGTTTCGCTCAGACTCACAGGTGCTTGGCGATCAACATGACTTGTAGGGCGAAGTCATGTGTTGAGAAATAAGTGGATTACCGCAACGTTATCTGGAGAGCGAGCAGCTGGTTTCTAGTGACATTCTCTAGACGTTGCATACTAATGATTGAACCGTCGTGATTGCGCTGCTGCTTAAGCTTGACCTTCTCTAGGTTCGCTTCTTTTCAAAGTCGATAGCGGATGTCCAATATCCTCGTCGTGACGCGTGAGAACACTAAAGTGAAAGGCTTGTTCCTGCCTCATATCAGAGACTATTTTGGTACAGTTTTACAATGGTCTTCCACCCTAATTTTGTAAGCACTATAAGAGAAATTTTGGTGATGCGTTCCAAGCATAAAAGTTGTTGTTTTTGCTCTACCTAGCACCCTCCCGACCCCTGGATATGACAGCATCCCACTTGGTACGACTCAACGGTGGGCTACAATAAGTAATGCAATGCAAGAATTCTCAACCTTCATTATAGTTTGTAAAGCTCGGAGTTTCAGTTCAGCTTCAGAAAGACTTATATTTTGCCTATCGTAGAAAATCCAGCTTGCTGTTTACAGAAAAGAATGGCAATACAACTGCGTTCGCTTGCTGATGTTATTTATGATGACGTTGAAGATGAGATTTTGACACAGGTACTGAAAATGCCTTGAATATTTCTTAGTGCTTTTCTTAAAGTGATTTGAAAGGCGTTTATGTTCGTTTCTCTTTCAAGGTGACTGAAGGCGAAGGACATTACTTTGACTATCCAGTTCATAGTGAAGTGGAAAGCACAAGCAAGTTCCATACATTGATAAAGGATGGGAAGCAGTACAAGCCGTATCGGAGAGTGTTCATTATGGATTCAACAAGGTTGGTGTGCCATGCAAATGAATAAGCTGGCTGTTGTTTATTATTTTCAATTTTTGAAATATTTACTTTCATGTATTTCTGGAAAAGGTCCAGACTTCTGATGGGTACATAACTTACCACCTTCATAATAAGGTTCATGGGTTGGGCAACCACCACTCACGAGTTTATATTCGAGTGATACTGTTCAGAAGAAGGCTAGCAAAATCCTCGTGGGCGTCCTGAGTAAGAGAAAGGGTGGTGCGAACCGCGGGAAACTTCGTGGTTGTCCTGAGTAAGAGAAAGTTTGGAAGTGTGACAATAACTGTAAAAACAGCATTCTCTTTAATTCCTATTATGAGCCATATTCCAAAGCTTTTTTATGCTAAATGGGGGCCAGAGGCAAATATTGGGCGCTGATTATCGAGGATCAAGTGACCCCCGTTTTCCTTATAGCAGGTCCTGCACCTAGGAATGTGCTCTGCCCGTTCTCTTTGGAAGTCCACCGTTCCACATGTTGGATCCTATCAGACTTTGTGCAGCAATTTAAAATTACTTTCCAGGTTCAACGCTTTCCTCGAGCAAGTCATCAACAGTAATTTTTGAAGTTGTTACATTGATATTAAAGATACGCTGCACAGTTACCTACAGGATGGATCTTTGCCATTTGCGATGTAAATTTGCCCGCAGCTATAGAGCGTGCCAC